CTAGTGGAATGGACAGTAATCCTGAAGTGCAACCACACATTAAACGCCGGCTGTAGTCAGCAGTAATGTGGAAGACTGGCTGCATAATTTTTTTTTTACTTCTACTTCCAAGGTAAATATCATTGTGAATGAAGGGGGAGTTGAGGATCCGCGCGGCTGGCGACATGCTGCGAAAAGTTGAACCCTGTGTCAGACGTAGAGGGACCGGATTAAGGGGTGTGAATAAGCACGACTCACAACAATTCCAACACGGACCAAGCAATATCATCGTTAGTGTCTTAGCAAGCGGAGGTTTCGGAAGGGACGGCACGTGATTCATCCTGAGCCTAGATGAGACATGACATGTCTTGTAGGATGCGTCTTTTAGAAACCAGCTTTATCCAAGCGAAATGATTTAACCTCTTAAAGCGTTTTTCGCTTCTAACAAGTTTCCGATTTTCTGGAAAATCCTGCATTAACCACTAGGTCACAATGAGTTTAGTGATTGCTTTGTTCTATCAAGTCGCTGTCAACCGTAGGATTTCTCAAATTCACCACGCAGTCTCCTTTTTTGGCATCTGCGGTGGTATTTCTTGTATTAGATGATTGTACTTGCCTGGTGCGTTTCGTGACTTGAAATCAGCTTGCTTAATGACCCGCTTGTTTGCCACATTTTCCGTTTTTCCCCCAGCGTTCGAATTGTCCTTGTCTTTGATTTGATTTTGGTTAATGAAGGCGCATTTTTATGACAACTACGCGATATTCGTCTCGTACTTACTGCGTCAGATCTTTTTTCCTCTGTGATGGGCATATTGCCTATCTGACAACAATGATACTTTGTAATCACTGACCCTTTGCTTATGGTGTGTTTTTGTTTGTCCCGGCATTCGATAATTTCTTTTTTCGATGGATTGAATTTAGACTTATTATGCACCTCTGCTTTCTCAGTCTGTTAGGCAGTTTTGAATTTTGATTTTTTTTTCCGCATCCCTAGTGAATTCATGCTTTTGACTCGTCTTTCTGATCTGTACTGATCGTTTGCAAATTGTGTCCTCTTTCTCGTTAATTAATTCGCCGAGTGTTTACATTTGTGAAATTCTTTAAAAGTAGCCAATTCACTCCTATGTGTAAATCACTTAATCATCGTGTTTTTTTTGTTTTCACTGTCCATAAAAGCAACTTTCCTGGGGTGGGTTAGTATTTTCTGATCTTGGTTAACTTTGTCCACTTGCCACTAAGGTGAGTGTTTGGGTTCCCCTTTTTCTCTTCCCACCAATATGCTTCTTCTATTTTGTCTAATCGATATTAAAACCATCGTTGTTGTCCCTCTACGACAGATACGAGCAGGCCACCTCAGGCTGGTGAGAGGAACGGGGTCGATTACTACTTTTATGAGTCCAAAGCCGCCATGCAGGCCGACATCGCTTCGGGAAAGTTTTTGGACGTGGTCGTTCAAAGCGACCACTTCTACGCCACTTCCTTGCAGTCTGTCGTAGAGGTGCTTCAAAGCGGCCGTATCTGCATCCTTGATGTCAACATCATGACCATCTACCGACTGCAGGTGGGCATCTCGACAGGTTCTTTTTTAATTGGAAAAATACGTTCCGAATTCGGACTAGGTTTTAGGCTCCAGCGCTTATTAGCGTTTCGGTCTCATGAGGAAATCCTATCTCTTCCTTTTTGTAAGTTTTCGTGCGTAAATATCGTGTCCAAAATCCCAAAATGGGTGGCAGTAGGAAAAGGAGATGCCTTCTCGACCCTGTTGAGCTGTCGCTTCACCCACGTCTTTGGTTTGTTCAGTCCACCCTGCTAACGTCGTCGCTTTTTGTGAAGTAGTACCTTTCGGGGGAGATGGCGTCCGCAGCAGTCGTAGCTAACCGACGCACTTGTCTGCTTTAGTCAGTGGCGCAGCACCTCAGTAGACAAAAAAACTCGCCATTTGCGTGGGACTTCACGAAGCTACTTTGGGCAGTTGCCAAACCAACCTTTTAACTGGCAGTTTGGCTTCGAGAAAAATAAGGTTTTAAATGCAGCCTCGCTACACACATATGTTGCAGCAAGAATCGGTTTTGCCTCCCAGCCGCCCAAACAACAGTTAAATTTATTTTGTGATATTTAAGCCCAATATTCGCTCGTATCTTTTGAGTGTCGGCCTGAGTAGTGTAAAGTTGGTATGATAAAGTACGATCCGTTCTCTCTGCGATTGATTTCACCTGATTTGCGACATACGCGACTTGTAACCTGACATTTGTGTGTGTGTGGTGGTCCCTTTGTTTAAAGCTCCTAATTGTACTCCTCGGTTGTTACAATGTTTGGCCTCTTGATGCCCTCGCTGCCATACCAGTTAGGCAATCAACTTGGGTGTTCATGTGCAAACTCGTACTTATATCACAACAGTAGCACGTACTATCCTTTTACAATGCAGACGGCTGGTCTTCGTCCGATTGCGATCCTCTTGAAACCCGAAACAGTCATGCAGTGGCGTGGCCTCCAGCGAAGACTGACGGTTGATCAAGCGCGCAGGATGCACGAGGCCTGCACCCGGATGGAGTCCGAGCATTGGTACCTCTTCACCGGTAGGTGCAAAAACGTTTGATTTCCCACCACCAGAACTGGTGCAAAACACAGCCTCTCCTCGTGCAATGCTCCTCTGGTTACGCCAATAGGTTTATTATGATTAGCTCTCTGGCATGTAACCCAACGTGGCATTTATGTAACACTTGATCACATCGCCTCGACTTGGATGTGGCCGTGTGACTTTTGTCGATCTGGCCTGAACACACTTATTTGTGCAATCCTTAGTTTTAGCTGTTGCATGCAGGCTGTGGGCGTCTAGATCATTTAATTGTCATAGCAAAATCAGTCTTAATAGAAGACCATTGTGGTTTGGCCAGGAACGGCTGTTGCGTACTGTTGTGTTGCGTGAAATTGAGCCTTTAAAGCACGCCTTACAGGCTTGCGAGTTGGGCCGTCAATTGCAAACCGTCACAACCTGATCATGCTGAACTGACCGATGCGGCAATTAAAACCTCCCTCTGCGTCAGGGCGTGTGATAATTTTGCAGCTGGACTCATCCTCTAGGGGTCAACCTAGGGTCAGGGCGGACTATCATTTGCATTATTAAATAATTTCGGCTATCGCGGACGGACTGCTCTAGCGGTCGGAAGAAATGTTCGTGTGTGTGCTGGTGCTGAATGCTTCCGAGTGCCAGATTGGTAGGGCTTGTCGCCTCTAACGTACAGTTACTGGACGGTGATTGGTGATTTAAAAAGGGCTTTTGTTACGTGCGAGCCATCGATTAAGCTATTTCTGTTCAAAAAATTACCCTCTCGAAATCCTTGCTTTTGCATTACTGACGAATATTTTTTTGAAATTAGGGGATTTTATTTGCCGAAGTATTGATTTTTTTAAGTATGCTCCTATAATTCTTGACCTTTTGTGTGCTATTTTTTTGTCATCTTACCGGTACGTTTTGTAGTTATGGTGTTTTGACAAAGTGCAAATCTTACAACGTTTAAGTGTAGGTTTGTAAAAAATACCGACATCACTTTTACAGGCTAAACCAAATCCTAATAATCACTACAACAAGTGTTAAAGATGGGGATACGACGTCGTTTTTTTGTAATAAAATTTATATTCATGTTTATGCAATTTTCAAGACTAATTACGGCTCGATACCGCATAGGCTCTTGAAATTTGTGCAAACCCTCTCCTGTTTATTTGGTCTACTGCGCCTTCACTTTTGCAAACCAAGTGTTCGGTATTTGTCGCGTGTTGTTTTCGACCAGCGCATAATGTGTCGAACACTTCGCTTTCAGCTATACTCAACTTAGAATCGCTAGACGGTGCGATTGCATCGGTAAATCGGATTCTGCAGCAGCACAAAGGGCCCCGTGTGTGGCTTCCGGCTGACCAAACCCTCAGCAATGTGGACAAGCACCTCCGTCCTGCGTAGACGTGTTCGTCGAAGAGGAATATACATTAGTAGATATGTGTACTACCAATTAATGGAAATCTTATCTGCCATTTGCCACCCAATCACACACACTCACATTCTTCATTCCATCGTTCTTTCCCAACGAACAATCAGTCTGAATACCTTGTGGTAAATAACACGTTAATTTGTATTTATGTGGGCCAAATTGTTCCTCCCCTCCTCGAGGTCTCTCTTAGGCGCTTGTAAACACACAATGCGAACAATCTGTCCAATGCAAAATTACTTCTTTGTTCTCACTTTCAAAAGTAGCTGGGCTTCATTGCCTTCTGGCCCATGCTTGTGTATATCATCTGAAAAACCTTTCCCTGCTCCCCACACTAAAACTATTTTGCTGTAATGGGATCCCATCCGACGCCTTTATTTGGTTTTGCCACTGAATCACTCCCCACTCAACCCTTGTCCTCTTTTTCCACCTCTATACACTTATACGTCAGTAAAAAAAGTATCGAGATTGAACAATCCCGTTCATTTTTCCTACCTGGTGTAAAGATATTTGTTCAAACGATTAGCTCTCAGCAATCGTACTTACCTCCTGAGTGCATGCATTCCGATACGGTAGTTTAATGTGGTCACTTTCTGCTTCTACCAAAAACTTTGCCCTGCGTCGATTCCCATGTTCATACTCAAAATTGGATCGTCATCTCGCTCTTCAGCATCGCCAACCCTCTTTGTTTGGTTTTATACAACTAGCTAGAATAATGCCGATCTTCAGCTCCAATTGTTTATGAAATCATGACGCTCGCCATCAAATTTTAATAGATTGGCGATTTTGAAAGGCAGGCGAGGTGTAATTTTTCACCCTTATTGTCTGAAGGTTTCGTTGCAGTGTAGCTCACTTCTTGACACTTGAGAGCCTCCTGGAATGGGCAATGTTTTCCTGACGACATGTGTAGACCAAGCTTTTTCAGTATAAATTGTCTCGCATCTCTTCATTGTTATGCTGAAAAAGTGTCTTTGGATAAATAACAAATGATGCTTATGCTTCGTCTGTTAGAAGCATTACTGCGACTACATTCCGAAATAATATTTACAAGGAATCGTGGCATTCCGCTCAACCTCCAGTCTGTAGTCCCACTCGATCTCCCTCGCCCTTGACGGATCGATTTTCGTTAGATAGGGCTTGAAGAATGTCACTTGGAGTGGCGCCTTTGTCTGCGTGGAGGGAATTACGCAGTTGGTTGAGCACATAGGCCAAAAGAACTGCATTTGCGCTGTCCTCTCTGTGGTCTCTTGCTGGTGGAGACTCGAGGATGCTTGAATTTACCGGGCTAATTTCGTCAGCATCTGATTGGTTCCTCCCAAGTCCACTGGACAATATCGATTGTTCGGGCGTTGTGAGGTGTTTCCTGGAATTCACAGAGGGTTGGTGGTGATGTTCTGTGGGGTTTTCTTTTTTCCACTTGGTTCTTCGATTTTGGAACCAGATTTTCACCTGAAACAATGAGCACTTTAATGAAACCATTTTCCCTACCACCGTGGAATTAGCTAGCTCTGGATTAGGTTTATTCAAATTCAATCACAAAATTTGCAACACACAATTATAATCAAAATGTCTCGTGTTGTTTTAACGGCCTTTGGGTATTTAATCGGATACCAACGCTGTCTACTTCGTTATACGAATTGTAATAAACAGTCCTCATCCGAGGTTACTGAAGTCGGTAGATAATGAAAGTACTCGCATTCAGACGATCTCGAATGGAAGGCACCATTATAATGTAGAGGTGGTTCCGTGCTAATGTAACAGCAACTGCTTTACTTTATTGGTTTGGTGCAGCCTGGCCTTTGTGGTCGTCGTAGTTCGAAAGCTGTTTCCTAACTTCAGTCTGTCTCGAATTTTGGAGGTAGTTTGAGGCCAACCGGAGCTTTTTGATCCCCTCGAATCGGGGTTCGCTGTTCTTGTCTTTTGTCCTCACTAAATTGTGAGCTTCATTTGCCTTTACCGTGAACGGGGAGCCACGAGCAATTGGCACTACTCGCAAATTCCTGGATTCAGCCAGTCTCGCGTAATTTTGGGCGAGAGCTGTAAAAGACGGGGACTCTGTTTGCTTAATTACCACCCTTTTATCTTTCACTTAGTGTGTACCGCGCACGCGCAGACTTTCAACTTAATTTGCCCCAGCGCTGCCTTATATTCTAATGCGTATTTTGTTTCAACGCCATTAACTTTCGTGCTAATTGGAGCAGCCAAATTAGCGCAGCGTGCTCGTGCGACGCGCAGTCAGAGGGCCTAGTGGTCGTCGTCGTCGTCGTCGTCAAAGCCAAAGCGGAGCGCACAAGGCAGAGGAAGGTAGAGACTATTATAAATAATGAGAACAGCACTTAGTGGCAGGGGTGGAGCTCTGGATGGTTGGGTATGCGCACGCATTAAAAAGGCAGCAGTGTTTCTTTGAAACATTGATGTAATTGCGCGGAAATTAAAAAGAGCTCCCAGGAGTGTACATTTGCTTACACATCAGAAGTGCTTTGAGCGCCCTAATGTATGCTCACGAGTGCTGGTTTGTTCATTTAACTACAGGGCGCTCCTAATTGGCTTTCTCTAGCGAAAAAAGAATTGCTAATTACGCTTGAGTGTTGCAAAGTACACCCCGAAGCCGAACAATCTTCACTCAGAGGTAGCTCGCTTTCCAATGACCAGTTAATTGTAAATTTGAATTGGACCTTCCCAACTTGGATCACCGCTGAATCGGACTTGATGACATCCTCATTCAGTTCGACAGTTTGACTGCATTTTAGGAAAATAAATGCTTGACTACTGAGTTATCTTCATGAATATTTTAATTCATGTGTGCGCATGTCTGTGAAAAGTCAAGACTGACACAGGCTCTAAGTTTATCTCGATACATATTACTAAATTGTTGTATTGGTGACATACGTACAGCCTAATTGTTGTGTTGGTTTTTTTTTAATTTTTCGCCTAAAACCTTCCCTCAGCTATTTTAGATGGTCTAAATATGACCTAATTAAGGCAACCTGGGTTTCATGGACAGACAGGTCTTGAGTTTTAATTAGGAAAAAATTGTAGACAGAGAAAATCATAGTGTAATTGGCACTCATAATTTTGATTTGCTGAAGCAGCATTTCCCGCAAACTGATTTTCAGCTTAGTGCGAGATTACACCCTGTTCGATTCGAAAGGTTCTCTTTAGAAGCGCATGACTTCTAGCTACCTCGTTTAGATACCGATGACGATCAAAATTTGGGGGATCGTGTTCAAAGTTGTGAAAAAGTTCTAACTGACTGAACCAACTGGCTCTCAGTCAAAACAAGTCCATTCAAATAAATATTTACTTCATTTGGAACGTGGACCTACTGCCATGCCACACGTCTGTGTTGCATGGTGAGAGGATCAACTACGGCGTTGCGACAGTCGTGACCCACATTTCGTGATGAGAATCATGCCATGCAGTATCGTTCCTTTCGTTCTAGTTTATTTTGTCCAGAAGACAAAAACTTCACCCCAAATTTACTCAGGTTTGTTGAATTATTCGATTTGTGTAAGATTTATCCTAAAATGAAATTCAAATCGAAAAACTAGATAATGCAAAAGGCATCCACTAAAGATAGTCTTTTTTTAATTTTGGGGAAACGAAGGACCACTTTTGCAACAGAGCTTTATAGAAAATAAAGCACACTCCTGCACCTAGTGAAGGGCGATACCAGTTCTTACTACGTTCTAAGATATCGTCCAAGGGAAACTGACATTTTCAAATAGGATGCGATTTCTAGAAGACTTACCTAGCCTCTAAAATGATTGAAAAACACAATTATGCATCAAATGTTTGTCCTTGAGCCATTAAGGAGAACCATCGTGAAATACCCAGCAAAGCTGCAACTTTGGATCGTTTCTGTGCTTACATTTACCTCAAAGGTGCAGATCAATGTTTAAAATGGGCTTATCTCGAATTAAACTACAAGATTCACCGTGCCACTAATTGCATGGTTCTCGTGGTTCAACCGGGAAAAACGAATGCTTCTTCATCCTAAACCTGAGTTTTAGAACGTTGCAGCATTGCAAAAACAATCCAATTAGCCACAATGATGGTAATTGACTAAAAACACCCAAAAAAATTGCGTATTCCGATAGTAAATTGCTTTCCATGATATGATACCGAAGTTGTGATTCACGCTGAAGTCGACTATGACACGTGACGGTTTGTGGGAAATGGTTGTAAAATTTTATGGTAGATAGAAAGTTTGTTTATTCTAATTCTCAATGGAAAGATCATAGGAGGATGAAAGCAGACTTTTTCCAAAATTCACACCCACCTGCGTTTCCGTGAGGTTGAGAGACAGGGCCATATTCATCCTCTCACAGACAGAAAGGTAGCGAGTGGTCTTGAATTTGCTCTCCAGAGCAACCAGCTGTCCGTACGTGAAGGCAGTTCTGGCTCTTCTGTGCTTTCCGCCACCTCCGTTTGTGCTATTCCCAGGTACACCGTGTACATCCTCATTGTTGCCGCTCCGCATCAACTGGCTTTGGTGTTTTCGATGCTTGTGTAGTGATGACGCCGAGTAGAAATTTGAGTCTGAGCCGGTAAGTCGAAAGTAGTCAATGTCCTGGAGAGCCAGTAGTGAAGCTAAGTTGAGGCACGACGTCTGGTGTTGTTGATGCTGCTCTAGAAAATTACTGATTTCGGCACACTTGAATTCGCGGCCTCCGTCAGTTGCTGGAATGTCTACAGAAACAGTGGAAACGGACATGGTGAAGACATAACGAAAATAAAGGCATCGCGAATCATTGAGCTAAGCCTTCACAATAACTATTACCTCCCTTTCAACTCTTATTAAAATGTCACTTAAGAATCCCAGCTTGAAACCATCCAGTCTCCTGTGAAACCTTCAGCAATGATTAGGGACTAGGATTTTTTCACTTATTTCGTCGTAAATCAGCATCGTTGAGGCTCTTTACTCGGTTCCACACTTAAGATGAGAAGAGGGGCTGCATTTCAAGATCTGTTTAAGAAGCTTAAAATTAACATTCCTTCCTTGCCTTTACACGAGATAACCCAACATGGGCACATGGTTGATGCACTAGCTAAACTTAAAAGGACCCGTGATGCATCAACTAGTGACAGAAATGCTGATAACCCGTTGGCTTTAGTCTCCATCTGCGCTTCATCATGTACTACTCTAACTATCAACTCTCGTGAATCAACAGTACTGATAGAAGTAACTCGTGACTGATCAACGCCTCTTCTTCAGTAATTTTCGCTTGTTGATTTTCCGACAAAGTGGGTGGGACAGATTTGCCTAAATACACGCAACTTTTGGAAATTAAATCAACCCGTAATTACCTCTTTAATGCAGTAGTGGTGGTTGAGACAGCCTAAACTACAAATTTCGAAGTTCACATTGACAGTAGATTGTCCCTCTGCTCTCTAATTCACTTTTCGCAGACGAGCTAGTTTAGTTGAAAAGAAAATTAACCAAATTATGCCAAGTTCTATAAGTTTTTAATTACTACTCATGAGTTTCGTTGTCTAGAAATGGTTTCGCCAAAGGCTGCGCTGGCTTCATTGTGGAGACAAGGTGTCTGTCAACGCTAGGAAATTAGGATTTTAGCTTACCTTCACTGTTCGCTGTGCCATTCTCCATCAAACTGTGAATAACACAAAAGCCCCGCTCTGTCTGGAAAGCAGGACGCGTGGAATCCTATAAGTGGGGCTTTCGAAGCAATAATAGTTTCGACTAGCGACATCGTAATCACCTTTAGTTGACCGACCCAGTTACTCAACTACGCACGCAAGCGAATGCTTATGTTAAAACGAACAGCTCGTACCAGTCGACATCTGCATCAAACAAGGTCACGTCCGATTCATTTAGTTTCTACTTTCTTCATTTATGTGTTCCTAATTCAGATAGTCACAATCATCTACTTACTTTGCTAAAATACATTTCAAACAATGCAATTTCATGACTTTGACTTAAAACTACACTTTAGACTGATCTAACGATCAGGTGTTATCTAGAGTAGAATCGTCACGATTTTCAAATACAAGGCACAAAATATGGACAAGTAAAATTAAACCGTAGATCAGGTTTAATGCTAGCCAACAAATACAGAAAATCACTACATCTGAATAGGTTGATAAGGAATTGAAAGAGAGTATGTCACACACAACATAAATGGTAGCACTAAAGACAGTGCGATCAGATTCCCAACTGCATTGTGGAAAGTTAATCCGACTTTCGTGTGTCATTCCGGTGCTGTCAAAAGTAATTGGGCTCTATCATCTTTGGCAACTGCGTGTATACACAAATTGGTGGGTTTTGCACTGAACGTATTTCAATTCGGAATTTCTCCTTCTGTAACTTGTGCGCATTCTTCTGCGAATTCCTCCTTTGTGGAACAATTCATGACTTCCATTGTTCGACTCTTTCACGGTAAAGATGCTTATACGCAGTAAGTCTACGTTGGCTCTCATAAACCCTCACTTGTGGGACACCAACATGCCACTACCTAATCCCCATGCAAGTTACATCAACACCAAAGTCGTCAACCACAATCAATCCCCATCTAAAAGTCCCTGTGTTCCCTGCTTCACCAAGCCTGGATCAAACTCTTCCCAACAACACCGCTGTCCCACAGATTGCCTGAGGCTAGTTAATTTCTCACAACCGCATGCACCTGCGTCATAACCTCCATTCTACTTGAGAAGCTCTTTTCCTACACTACCCGAGTTAAGTTGCCTGTGGTGACCACTTTGGTTTTCACCACCAAACTTTGACGCAGCTTTCGTAATCGCCAAGCCGGGTGTGGATTTCGGAGCTGCAACAAGTTTGCAGATGTCTGCTCTTAAGTCCTCAGATTAAAATATATTTTTCTGTGTAGAACCGATATTTATTCCTACAGTAAGTTGCTCAAAGCCACTATTGGAATATATAAGTGTACTCCCTCTCTGTGTAGATGACACTTCAGATCTCGACGTAGAACAGTAGCGCAGTTAGCCCATTCTGTCTGGTCGCATCAGCCCCCTCGAAACGTATTTACCCTCTCCACAAACATATACTGTCAAAGTCGACTTGACTGATATTCATCACAGGTGCGTTTGTTTGGCGGTATTGATTTGTCCTGCGCATTGCTTGCGCTTGGACGGCCGAGAGACCGCCTCAACGGAGTGCTCACAGCGCCGCTGTGGTAGGGCGGCCGCGTCGGCGGCGCCTGAGGCCAACTGGCCAAGATCGTTTTCGCACGCGTGCAACCGCTGGCCAATTACTTCACCCACCCACCCACTTAGTCTCGTATAATAATTAGTTAATGTAGTTTATGGCAGATCTGCATGTTTTATTACCATGGCGGCTAGCCTATAGGTAGTCTAGCGACAATAATTTGATTCGGGAGATTTTCAGTTATTCTATTTTTCATCGTGGCGAGTCAAAATTTTACAAATTTGTTCCTAATATCAAACGTGGAAACATACTTTCGAAATACCTTTTGTATATATCCTCTCTTCTCAATTTCAATTTGGCTGTAAATGTCTACGTGTGTGACACATCTACCGCTCTGGTGCAACAAGGTCGTTCGCTGTTTCATTTGAACTTATATGACTCAAGCACTACCAGCTTGTGTTCTCACTTATCATACATTGTTTATTCTTTTGGCCTTCACATTTGGCTCACACTTGTGAGCCTCGATTTCAATGCTTTTGCCCTCGATGAGCGCATACGTTAATGTACATCATTACTTAGTGTATATTCAAATCAGGAAAACTATTTTTGAACTTAATGGTTTTTGAACAGAGTAAAAGAACGAACCAAGGTCGTTGGCATTCGAAACGGGACACTCACTATCAATAATCGCAATCGATGTCGTTCGAAATGAGTCATAAAAATATCTGAATGCCGGAATTAGATAACTATTGTTTCGCTCAGCTTGAGATTGGAGAGCAATGCGTCGAGTTACTAATACCGAACTACCAAGGCTATTCGCCACACATTCTAGAAGGCGCACTATTGGCTTGGTTGCTCCAACTTGCAAGTTGCACAGTTCTGCACAGCTATAATGGTTCGGAAAATCATCATTTTCACCAACAATCCACGTTTCAGATATCTCACTTTTTTCTAAATACTTGTTCTAAATTTACGTTTGAGAAGGGTCAAACAGTTTAAACCTTGGGAACAAAATGTGAAAAATGGCATCGTAGGGAACTTCCATGCCTGCCATTTCCATGAATCCCCTTGGCGATCCTTAATTACTTGTTTATAATTACTGCTTAACCGAAACTAAACCTCGATTGATGGCAAGTAGTCTCTTCATCAATTCGTAAATCTTATATCTTAGAGCTTTGAAAAGGCATCAACTTGGTGATGCTTACATCAACACCTAAGACTAATTACCTTTAAATCTGCATCAATTGCAAGAATGACAAATACAGGCTTCAAAACCGCTTTAACGATCGTTCTAGCTTAGCTCCTTGTCCATGCTACTAGACTCGAGATTTGAAGCACCCCATATCGAAACAAAACACATTACCTGATTTTGGGTCGCCCAGAGCTGGTTGGTGGTGTTCTGAAGCGGCTTCTTCGCGATTTTGCACCGGTTCCGTGCTCTCTGACTTGTTGAGAATATGATCAACCCTAAAGGAGGCCATGTAAGAGAGGGGATCCTTTGGGGTGGTCGCTCCGTCCAAAAGGTCTCACGCCCACTGAGCGCAGCGCTTTCAATCGTCACCGCAATTTCCGTGCGTGCTGGCTTGCCTGTCCTTCCACCGTCTGTCCGTTTCACACACGCGCTGGCACAAGTGGGCGTAATCAGCTGATTAAGTGCGTACGAGCGTGTGGGTTACCGCGCCCAGAGGCCTGGGGCACACGTGAGCACTGGAAGCAATTAGTACGTAGGTGTGCCAGGGCGAGTAGCGCACTTGCGGAGGCTTTTTAAACTAATTAGTCCCCACCCCAACCCTGGCGGTGGCGGCAGGGGAAGTTATAGCTCGTGTGAGTCAATAAACCACGCTGTCGGCGGCGGCGGCGGCCGAAATTCACCCAAGCAATTAACCACACGCCCTCCCTCCTTCACTCAAACGCTTGTGTGTGGCCAGCAAACGGCGCTGGAGATTCTAGCGCTGGTTCCACTTTGGTAAACCTACCGGAAATACTCGAAGCCACTAGGGTGAAAGGTGTTTTAAGTCTCCGCTGCTCAAGGGTTGGAACACAGAACCCAGGAAATTGTAAGGAAGCCATTGATAAAAGAAATACGGGAAGTTGGACCTGTGTGTAGGTGGTGACCAGTTTACTGAGATCGTGTGTAAAAATGAAGAATTTGAAGTGTGGATTTCGGTTAAAAGTTTGAAATTCAGGGCAGTGAGTTGTCGGGTACATTCCCCGTGATTGCAGCGGCATTATCAAAGGAACTGCTTTTAGATATTAACCCAATGGCAACAAAAGATTATGTAGGATTGCAAACATGATTGACTTGGTAGAATGCTTTGGTTAGGCTGTTATAGGGCTCAGCCCGGAGCGCTTACTCCCCTATGATGTTGCAATTATTTCTTTATCTTTCATTTTCCCTGCATTTTGAGGTGTACTTTGTTGGGCAAAGACGGCTCATAACACCTTACGAAGCTTCACATCCACGAACCTCATCTCTCAACTATGAAAGATGTAAGAGTTTCATTTGACTGTTCGAGGAAAAGGCGAATCGAAGAACTTGTCCACCAAGCATATCATTATGTTTGATGGGTTGCTTTCAAGGAAGTGATTTAAGTAAATGTAAATCTTCCGACATGCCCCCATTTCTGTCCATTGCTTGGCGCAGTCTCGTGAGGAAGGGAAATTAAATTTTCGGTGGACTGAGGAATTACGAATGTCCGGAGGTGTAAAGCGTTTGACCTGAAAAGACCGCAAATAATTTGACTTTGAGAAGCTGTCTCTATACTCCGAAAATATTCTTGTTCAGGTTTTAAAACTTGATTCCGAGTATTCTTGGGTCATCAGTAGTCTGGATACGGTGAATTGTTTTTAAAAACTTACGTATGTCAAATTTATGGAGCGTCAACTCACATGGCCGATTTGGACTATATATAGCGCTGACAACCAGTGTGGCTCACCATACTTAATGCCCAACCAAGCCAGAGAACCAGTGGACAATTCCCGGTCCAGGGCGAGGACAGAACCTCATAGAGAGCGACCTTTTGTTATCTCAACCGGAGTCGAGTAACGTGCCTGGATGCGTGGCTTACGCATGCCTTGGGTGGTCTTGACCCAATGCAGTGAAACGGGTTCAGCACAGATAAGAAGGGTCTTTTTGAGGCCTTGGAAATGGTGTGTCGAATGATGTGACATGATTGGGGAAATCATGAAAACTGGCAAAATCTTGATGAATTGATTTAGCGGGACCTGAACACAAGATCCTCAGTGTAATAACAGCTTCCTTTAAAAGAACCAGGCCAAACTTGAAGGATATTAGCAAAAGTAAAGCTTTCTACTTTATTCTTTATGTTGTTTTCATGAATTGAACTTGTTCTTGCAAATTTAAATTAGTATCAAATTCATTATTGAAACAATTCGATGTAGCTACGAGAATGTGCTCACATAAATAAAACACAGAAACCATAGAAACCCGCTGAACTAACTTTTGATCCTCATGATAGAGTTTGAAATACCATGACGGTTTCTGAGGCCGGGAATCACAAGTTTGCAGCGTAAATTTTTTTAACATCGTGAAAATACGCTGGCATGACTATTCGACTTATTTATTTCGAATTAAGGGTCAATTTGGTGGATATAAATCTATGCCCTAAATTTTTAGTTTTTGTATGAATATCGAACCCACATTGTGAGTTATATTATTTGCCATTTTACATTACAGTATCTGACCAGTAGTACAGACTAGATTTACTATTAAGTACGGTAAGATATGTTGCCAAGCCGTCCAATCAGCGAAAAAGGGCATAACAGCCAATGCGTACCATTGGTTATTCTGCTTTATTTGTGTAAAATTTTTAACAATGGTGGTAGTACCAGTGACTTGTAGGCACTTGTTGAGCTAGATAAAATTGCCAGTGGCAAAGTTTGAAATATTGCCCACTCTAGGAAACCTGACCATCATGGCTTAAAAACTGAGAATAAAAGAGCACCTAACTCAACTCTCGTTCGTAACGTTGGTAGGATAGGTGCTTGAAAATGATTAGCATTAAGAGGAGCACATGTAGCCTCACTGTAGGCAACGGTATCCACGATTGCTGCTTAACCCTTCTGCCAACTATCCCAATTCTCTTACAATTTATAAACACCAAGTTGTAGAGGACGCTTTTTAAAATGGTCTTCTAGCATTAATGTTGTTGCAGAGTGGCAAAATCACATTGCTTGTAAGCACGATAGTAATCATAAAATATTCCTAATTAACAAACGCAACTATCATAAGACTGCTTGAACGTGAAGCAACCCAGGTAATCCGCTACACTTTGTCTAAGAACAATGCAACAGTTAGAAAATGCCATGGTGGTGACGATGATTTATCCACTAATGGTTTGACCAGACTTCGTGTCTGATTATGAAATAGGTGGATTTAAGAAAACACACAATAGGCAAATTCAACCACCGAAATATGATGGCTGAATTTTACTTGAGGCGATGGGAGACCCAGCTGAGTTTCTAGATTTTAGTTAATTTAAAAGCGATGGTGTGAACAGGACGGCCCTGCAAGTGAGCCAACAGAAGTAACCGACGTACGTTAACCTTTAGGTGGCTTATCAACCCCACCTTCTCAAAATTAAGTGCGTGGGTATTCGTGGTCGATGATCGGATTTGAATGCCATTTGTTAACTTATACACATTCAAAGAGCTTTTCTTGACATCTGACTTATGGTTAACACGCTCGCACAGAGGTCCCAACTCCAAATAACGAACTTTATCCTTTAAGTGGAAAAAATCGAGTACCTTGGGCCCATTTTGTGTCGTCTATGAAAAAGAGTTGCCCTGCAAGAGAAATTTCACCTTTTCCCAGTAAATAAGCTTCTGTCGCAGTGATTACTCCACAGGTGAAGTCCTTGGCCCCTTTAAAATTTTTCATGTTTTTCCTGTTTTTTTTGATAGCTTGCTTGACTGTTTGAGTATGGATAATTTCAGTGCCTGTCAAAAAGCTGAACGCTTTATCCTACAGTTTTATGCAGTCAATCTACGATATGTTTACAATACAATATGCTTAATACTGCGCAAGGCAAATTAACCACAAAATTAGTCTGATAGTGACCCATTGCGAACTCAGATGGTACCTTTAAATGGGTAAGTGGCAAGGATTTTGTCTTTAAGGCAGCTATGTCATCAGTAACAAAGAAACTATCGCCTTCAAAGAAATTATAGCTACTAAAGTCAAGTTGACGAAACTGCAGCAGTTCGTTACAATGTGTAATTTCAATGGGAATATATGTAACAAATTAGAATAACTGAGTTCATCGCAACAAATTTCTGATCTAATCCAAACAGAGCAGCACCAAACTTTCGTACTTGGACGCCTGTGCTGCTACGTATGCGAACACTAAGAATGCTAAGCATTAAAGTATGAGAGCATGAGCAAGGTTAAGTGGACCACCATGGGAGAAACCTCAAGGGAGCATCGTGTCACTTGAAACGACGCAGATGAGAGTTTGGTGGTATAGCACACGACTGGTGAAACAAAAACACAAATGCCGCCCCACTGCATGCCTCAAGAGCGTTGCCAAGTCGGAGAGCGTCACGCTTAATCAAGCAACGTGCATGATGGTCCACTGCAAAAGGATGTCCTCAATAATTCTGTGGGAGATATAATATTTCTTCAGGTGTATACCAAACCCTAACACGATGATTCACCGATTTCGCCTGTTAATCCGACATAATAGGTTAAGACATTTGGTGTTTTCTTACCTTTCTGTACATAAAGCCAAACACAAAGTTGGAACAAACGAATTTGACGTCTACTGGTTTTCCACAAAAATCTTTAACTTGATATGGGAGCATTTCGTTTTCCCCGGTATGCTGCTGCAAAGCCCTGAGCTAATAGTTGGAACCCCTAGTTAGGCACGCTGAAGGCTTCCCAGAATAAGAGAAGGCTGGCGCTTTTGCAGAATGCTTTACTATCTGAACCAAAGATTCGAGTACAAGGCGGCGCCAAAAACCGGAAATCGAGATGGAAGTCAGTTGGGTGCTTAGATGTGCCCACTAATATATCCCTGGGTGATCGGAAATCAATAAACTGAGTAAATAATGCTGAGTGATGAGTTGCTGGTGTGACCAACGCTCAATCTGGCAGTAGAGTTGTATTCAAGTGAACAGAGTTGACTGAATAGACGTCCAAAATCACTGTGTTAATGTGTGTGTTGGTTAACACGCCAACAAGGTTGAAAGCGTCGGTAAGTTCTCACGGACGCAAGTGTGACTAAAATATAATTTAACTTCTGCAGCACTACTCCTTCATAAATGCAATTCATAATTTGGGCAAAAATGTAAAATTCAATGGAATTTTAGTCAAGTTATGTAGTGTCTGCTTTGTCCTTTACATAATTTGGAAGTCATTTAGAGAGCAACGACGAAAGAGGATCAACACCACTTCCTAGTAAATTCTTCAGACAGGAAGAGTTAAGAAAAGGTTTTCAACCAATAC